ATTTAAGTTATAAAGACTAGTTATAAAGACTAGTTATAAAGACTAGTTAGGAACGAGCCTAAGCTACAGGCTAAGCGTCCATAATTAGTAAGAAGTCTCCAGGCCGTTATTTGGGGCGTGCCTGGAGGGACAGAGAAAACTCGGTAGAGTTTTGGAAGGGGCTCTAGCAGGCCTGAGCAGGGCAAACATGATAGTAATGCTTGTCCTACCCTTCTCCTCCATTCCTTCTTCCTTGCAAAACCTTTAGATTACATCCCCAAAGCCTGTTCCTTATTTGGCCACTTTCTCCTCAGGAGGCTGACTACTGAGGTTGAGCTATAAAAGTACTGAAGTTTGGCAATCGAAAGCCTTCTTTCAGCTGCCCTAATTAACACGCCCAATCAAAACAAACTCATCCTAAAACAGGGTACCCCTTTTTCCCTTTATAAACTGCCTCTTGCTTATGGGCCACGTCTCCTCTCTCTCCAGAGGCAGTAGTCCTTTGTCCCTCTGGGACAAATATCCCTTCCTCCATCCCTTGTTTCTTTCCCCTTCTCCCTCATCCTCTATCTCCTGTTTGTCTCTTATTCCCTGCCCTTTGTCCCCACTTTGTGCTGAGAACTTCATCTTGGAGGAGTCTTGTGCTGATTTCGAGGACCCCTCGGTTTTCACATTTAAATCCATCTTTTTCTTAGAGTTTATTCTTGTGATGCCTTTGCCTGGCCATGGTATCAGGGTAAGGGTCCTCTCTCCTATTTGTTTTGAAAGAGTTCAGGGAAGACTGGTGTTATTTCTTTAAATGTCTGGTGCAAGTCACTAAGGAAGTCATCTACCCGAGTTTACCTTTGTTGAGATGGGTGTCTGCTTTCATGTGCCCATGGAGGGCAGAGGTCAGCTCTGGGTGTTTTCCTGGGGTGTCAGCCACTGTGTGTCTCTCATTGGCCTGGACCCAGCCATACAGCATGGACTGGCAGGTCAGTAAGTCAGATAACCACTTGTTTCGTCTCTGCCTCCCTAGCACTGGGATTACAAGCAGATGCCACATCACCTGGCTTTCTATGTGTGTGCCGGGGACTCAACTCTGGCCCTTGGTTTTGCATAGCCAGCACTTACTGACCGAGCCACATTCCCTGCCCTGGTGAGAGGTTTTTGCTTATTGATTCAATGTCTTCGTTATAGATCTGTGGAGATTTTCTGCTTCTTCTTGGGTCAGTTTCTAGTTTCTGTGTTTCTAGGAGTTTGTCACTTTCATCCAGGTATCTTCTCGTTATTTATAATAGTCTCTGAAAATGCTTTCTGGTTTTTATAAGCCTACAGGAATGTCTTTGCTTTTGTTTCTGATCTAGTAATTTATAAGTCTGACCAAAGGCTTAGGATTTTGTTGATCTTTCAAACAACAGCTTTTGTTCTCACTATTATTTTCCCAGTCTCCAGTTCACTTACTTCTCTCTGCTCTATTTTTAAAGATCTTTCCTTCCTTCCTCCCTCCCTCTCTTCCTTCCTTCTTCCTTCCCTCCCTTCTTCCCTTCCTCCCTCCCTCCTCTTCCTTTCCTCCTTCAGCTATTTAATTCAGTTTGTTTTCTTACTCTAGTTCCTTATGGATGGTATGGCATACCTTATGGAAGTGTGACTCAGGGCTAGCATTTGAAATCGCTCATTCCTGTTTTTACAAATATATTTATTTTTATGTTTATTTGTGTGTGTGTGTGTGTGTGTGTGCGCGCGCGTGCGTGCGTGCCTGGAGCTAAAGTTACAGATGGCTGTGAGCTGTGAGGTTCTGCTATTAAGGGCACATAAGTTACTTCTCTCTTAAAGAAATTAGAAGAGTGAGTTTTGACTATACAAAATTGGACTATGGCCAGTGACCTGTAGGCTTCATCCATAGATGAAATGTAATGTTCATTAACATAATTAAAAACTGAAACACCAAAGATGCTATACTTAATGTTTGAGATCCTGTACTACTTGGTGATAAACTAGAAAGGGACATGAACTGGTTAAAACATTTAAGAAAAAGGATTTCTGCTATTCTTTAATGCAGCTACCCTTTCTATTTTCCTCTTGTCCTACATGACTGTGTGGTCATGGCTCACCCAGGCAGTTTCAGTGCTGGGGCTGTCACCCCCACTCTTAGTTGGTGGTGGCTGGAATGGCAGAACCATCTTTTGCTCCCCAGTTCTGGCACACATCCCTTTCGCTGCTCTTCTGTCTGGAGGGACCAGCTAGGCCTTGTTCTGTGGGACCTGAAGGTTTTCCCAAAGTGACCCTAAATCTGCATAGAGGCAGGCACCACACCACATACCCCTTCTCTGTGTGGCTTTCCCACTTGACAAATGGAAATGCTAAAAGCAGAACGGTGCCCACCGAGGTTCTTCCCCTGGTCCTCGGTGAAGCAGGCCACACCCTCTGCCTGGAAAACCCACAGGAATGATTAGAAGTCCTCAGCGTGCTCGTCGGCTTGGATCAAAAGCCACTCCTGTCCCGAGTCGGCACAGCAAGCTGGCTCGCAGCTAAAGTCAAGCTGCGGACGAAACTTTGAGGGAGCCTTGAGGGATCTTGGCAAACGTGATGGGTGCTGATGCGTTTAACAGTTTCTCAACGCTTGCTCAACACTGATGCATCGTTGTTAGTGTGCCCAGCATTTCGTGAGTTTAGACAATGGCGTAATGCTGCGGTGTCACACAGAATAGTCTCACTGTCCTAAGCCACCCTTCATGCTTGCCTGTTCACCCAGGCTTCCCATTCCTCTAAATCCCGGAAAAATGATGCTTTAGGAAATTGAATTTTATTGAAGAAAGTATGGTCAGTGGTAACAATTATGCTAAAATATGTTTAAGTTCTCCGCTTTTCAGTATTTATATCAGAAGCTGGCTAGTAACAAGAAAACACCACCTGTATCCTAAAAGCCCTGAGGACTGTGCAAAGGGTTAATCAAGGAGCTCAAAGGTGGGGCTCGGAAAGCTTTGTTGGGGTCACTCGGGGATAGACGAGTCTTTGCTCCTATGGCAGCTTTCGGCAGATCACGTTTTGAGAGGAGGGGAGGTGTCCAAGACGTCAAGTAAAGACAGTAAGCGCTAGGTTTGTCTTCAACCTGAGCAGACCTCCTCCAGGCTCCAGGATGGAGCACAGGGCCTGTGGACCTGTACCCATCTTCAGTATATAAGTACAGAAACTTCAGCATATAGCTCTGTGTATCCACAAGTTTCACACCAACAGATTCAATGAACAAGGGACCAACAATACTTAGAAAAAAATTACACCTATATTGACAGTGTTCATGTGCCATTTTCTTTTCAGTATTCCCTGAATGATGTGGTTCAAGCGCCACAAGGTTTTAGTAGGCAATTTAAGTAATCTAGAGATGATCTGATGTATGCAGAAACATGAGTGGGTTCTATATAAACACTGCTCCATTCTATATAAGGGACTCAAACATCTGAGCACATGCTTCAGCATCCTTAAGGGTACTGTGTTCAGGGAGTGTCTATACACACGCTCCAGTCTGAATGACATAAGCACTGTGTGACTTTCGTGCGTGCTCACATTGCTTCTCCCCCAAGGCTGTATGGGATTAACTGGAAGCATCCAAGCTTGTGGAGACTTTGACTCTTTAATGTAAATATTTCCTAGTGACACTGACCTGCTGGGCTTTTACCTACGTGGACCCTAAGGTGTGCCATTTTCATTTAAAGTCTAAAACTATGCTAGTTGGAATCTAGTTCAGATTAGTAAATTGCCTACATTTTGGAGCAGTCTCCCGAGGAATCGTACTGGAAATGGAAGGGGGAAGATGAGCTGGTGATTTGACCCTGCATGGCCCCAATCCTCCTTTCCCAGCTGGAGAGGGAGAGCTTTGAGTTTGGAAGCTTGGTCACCAAACTACTGTGTAACTCAGCTATGGAGGGTGATTAAGCTTTGGTGTCTCCTTCGGTGTAAGGTCTAGGAGGTCCTGCCACCCACCTTTAAGTGAGGTGGTATAAGCTGGGGCTGGAATATGATCGGGGCTACATAAATCTAGGCTGTCCAGTATGGTGGCTCTACCACAGAATATGCAAGGTTGAAGATCCTGTGACCAGAGGGGACATTCTGAAGTTCCTTAAGACATCAAAATGAGATAGAAACTAATAAAGACCCAGGCATGTTGTCTCTCTGAAACAAGATGGAGTCTGGGATGGATATCCCACCTCCCTGAGCAAAGACACTAACTTTCTTCAAACTTTAAGAATATCAGAAGAATTAGTGTGAAGTTTCACAAATACCTCCTTATCTCCACAGAGGCATGGGCTGAGCTTGGAGCATCAGGACATGGCGCCTAGTTTCCAGATAATTCTCTATCATATTGAGGGAGATGTTTTAGCTATAAAAGGAGTGTATTCTGACACTGGGGTGACTTCTCTTTGATATTTATTTATTTATTTATTCATTCATTCATTTATTTTGCGGGGGGTGGTGGCGGTTGTTTTGGGTCAGTCTTGTGTAGGTTAGGCAAGTCTGGAACTTGCTATGTAGCAGAGAATCACCACGAACCCCCCAGCTTCCTGCATCATTGCCAAAGTGCTGGGCTTAGAGACACAGGCCCCTAGACCTGGTATTTTTATATTTTTTAAACACAGATACACACGTGGTGCCACACACACACACACACACACACACACACACACACTCATGTATCCTCAACAATAACAGACAGAAAACTAAAGGAATGCAATTTTCATTCTAGGCAGCAGGAAAAACAACTCATCTCTAGTTTTCAGTCAACACAGTTAGCTGATCATGAAGACAAAGCTACTCATAAAAATGCAAGAGCAATGTAGTGTCCAGAAAAGGGTCTAAGGAAAAGTCACTATCCCTGAACATCACTGTCTACATTGATAGACTCCAGAGTTTATTTAAGGAAGCACAGGGCTGCTAAAACACCACTGTGAGATGGGAATGCAGGGGAAAGTCCAAATGATCAACGGCTGTCAACTGCTCACAATTTGCAAAGGAATAACACTCATGCATCCATTAATCACGCTTACCTGCTTAGAGTTTAAGATTTGGCGCAACTCTTTCCTGAGATCAATAAAACGATCGTGGAAGAGGGCCATGCACCACGGCTCCGTGAAGTAGCTGGTGAGGGAAGAAGAGATTCAGTTAGCTGGCAACCCTCTCATTACCACTAATAAAGTATTTACCTGCTTTTTTGCCTTGATAAATTACAGTTCTGGCCCCATTGCAATCGTTTGCTCATAAAGAGCCTCGCGGAGCAGCCTGGCCAATCAATGCTTTAAATGGATGTTCCTGATGGAAGGCCAGGTTCCGTAATTACATTTAAAGTGGTTTAATTCAGAGCTGGGGCAGGACCCAGTGAAGAATCCTGATTTTATCAGAATTTAAAAGCCTGAAGACTTGTAAAGAACGGCGTCTCCATTATCTACCCTCATTTGAGAAAAACAGATTGCGGGATTGACTGAACTACTGCATGAACAGATTAAATTTGGGTAGAAAATAACACAAATGTTGTTCGTCATTAAGGTCTCTGGATTAATAATGAGCAGAAAACAGGCCACCTCGGCGTCGCAGCCTGGCCTCTGCACGGCTCAGCTGATGCTTACCTGAGCGGCAGGCAGGGAAACTGTGCTTTTGTGTTCGGGCTACTAACTGGCCAACTGATGGCTGAGCAGATGCCTATTTTATACGGAGAACACCACGGCCCTCTGCCATTCACAGTGATCCCCAAAAATGTCATGCATTCGTGGAAAAGCTGATACATCCTCACGATAACCAAACATGTTTACTAAACTTTAGCCTTTGCTGTCTTGTCACATGAAGCCACTTGGGACGGGAAATCAAACGTCCTCAGCGTCTGAGCCCAACTCCGTGGGTGTCACTTCTCTCTGGGAATGAACTTGCTGATGCTGTCATGGTTCGTGGGGGCCGTGGGTAGGCGCACAGGGAGAAAAGACTGCTTTCCAGCCAGAGGAGCAACAGAGGCAACTGTCCCCAGGGCTACCAGGCATCAAAAGAGAAACATAACAAGAGTCTATGCAAAATTCAAGAAGCCCTTGTTTTTTACTGCTGAGTAGTACTCCAATATGTATATATTCCATACTTTCTTCATCCATTCTTCTATTGAAGGGCATCTAGGCTGTTTCCAGGTTCTGGCTATTACAAACAATGCTGCTATGAACATAGTAGGAACTCAGGACCGCAAGGGGTGCACCCACACACTGAGACAATGGGGATGTTCTATTGGGAACTCACCAAGGCCAGCTGGCCTGGGTCTGAAAAAGCCTGGGATAAAACCGGACTCACTGAACATAGCGGACAATGAGGACTACTGAGAACTAAAGAACAATGACAATGGGTTTCTGATCCTACTGCACGTACTGGCTTTGTAGGAGCCTAGGCAGTTTGGATGCTCACCTTACTAGAACTGGATGGAGGTGGGGGTTCCTTGGACTTTCCACAGGGCAGGGAACCCTGATTGCTCTTCGGGCTGAGGAGGGAGGGGGACTTGAATGGGGGAGGGGGAAGGAAATAGGAGGCGGTTGCGGGGAAGAGACAGAAATCTTTAATAAATAAATAAATTAAAAAAAAAGAGTCTATGCTTGGGTCCGCTCCACACTCAGTTGTGACCTGATTTCCTCCTTAATTGCCACCTATAGTTCATCCAATCTTAGCTCCACCAATACTATCTACCCTTAGACCCCAACATCCCCACCATGCTTCCAGGCACTAGGAAAACTGTAGTGACCCAAAAGACAGATGTTCCTGTCAACACGGATCCTATATCCCTGAAATGACTAAGGGATGGATGGTGCGCTAGACAAAGAAGACTTCACTGAGAAAGAATGAAGCGAAGCAAGGACAGAGTGGGCACTGTTGGAGTAGTTCTTTGTGGAGGGTAAAGGCTCATGGGCTTGCCTCCTCCACCCACAAACTTTTCACCAGGTTTATCTGTACCACAACCTCCAGTATTCGGGGAACACCGAGGAAGATGGAGTGGGAAGGATGTAAGAGGTGAAGGATGGAGAGGAGCGATGTGAAACACTTTCTCTCGGGCGTAACACAGCTGCTGTACTGTGGTCACCTGCACAAGAATTGCAAAAGATGCGCTTGAACATTCAGTCAGGAAAGGGGAGGGGCGCATGAAGCCACACCCCTTCCTGAGGAACTATAGACAGTTGCCGGAGAGAGGAGTTATTTCGTTCAGTGGTATGGTAACTTGTTCAGGCTACAGTAAATACCCTCCTACCCAGGCTCATGCAAACAATATTAATTGTACTCAGTGCTTTCTCTCTCTCTCTCTCTCTCTCTCTCTCTCTCTCTCTCTCTCTCACACACACACACACACACACACACACACACACACACACTCACGCATGTCCCCTACACTTCAAAACAGCAATAGACATGAAAGTGAGAGGGAACCTCTTAGGAAAAGAGGGTTTAGAAAGAGTTGGGGAGATGGAAGAGAGTGATGGGGTAAATGAGAAGAATACATTATATACTTGGTTGGTGTTCTGGGCCTAGATTTCTGGGCCCACCACTAGCCAGTTTCTTCAAGGGAAAGATGGCTCAGAGGCTTGAGGTTTGGTCCATCTCTTCAGTTGGGAACATCTTGAACTAAAGACGCTGAACAAGAGCCTTAGTCAAGACACTCAGGCATGGTTCTGCTGGGACGGTCCCCACCTCTTGGACAGAGATGCTGCAGGGAACTGATGTTGCAAATCTCAAAACACTGCCAATTCCTAAATTAGAAGCCAGGGGATCTGTTTTGATTGGTCACTTTATTTCCTTGCGTGTTTCCATGGCACCACTGTCAGTTCCAACCCTCTTGGTTCGGGAATCGTAACCTTATCCTTTCTCTCACCTTTTCATTCTAGCACTCTAGATCTACCCCGTTAATCCAAGTACTTTGGTGGCCATCTTCCTGGTGCACTGCCTGTCCAACCGTCCTGTGCTGCTCACTGGATCCTCACTGCCTGCTTTAACAAGAGAGTGCTGGGGGAAATCCCACCTCCGTTAGGGAGACCTCGATGCCCTGGGCTTGTGCCCACCTCTGACATGCCCATGTCCCCCACAGTCTCCATCTACCAAGTCCAATACAGGTTCTCGGAAAAGCAGGTGGCCTTAATTCTCTGAAAATACTTTGAGGACTACACAGTTCCTGGGATGGTCCAGGGAGGAGTAAGGTTCTTTAAAAATAAGTTAAGGTTGGGACTCTCTGTGGCTTCTTCCCAGTGCCCAGCAGAAAGGGACCTTGCTATCTGAGGATCCACTTCCCATCACAGCATCTTAAATAGTTTGCACAGATTCAGGAGACCTGCAGTTTTGACTGCCCAGGTGGCAGCATGTTTGGGGAGCCATGTTCAGAAGGTAGCAATCGCTATAGCATACCATTCTGCCAATATTCTCAGAATGCAACAGTATCAGCCTTTTTTTTTCTTAATTTATAAAAGAGAAAAGCAAAGGTCTTGGTTTTGGATTTTATGCCCCTCTTGAGTTCTGCCAAAGTGAGATAGCAATGACCTTGAGACCAAACCAGCAAGTTAGTCCTGATTACAGAACCGGAAGCAATTTAGGAAGAAAACAACCGGCAGAGAGGTGGCTAGTGTTCTCCAAGGTCCCCAGGCTATTTACAAACACACATGGATTATTGACCATCCCTCCACAGTCAGGGACAGTACCTGCTATTAGGAAAGGTGTTTCAGAGAGCTGGGGAAAGGGATAGTTTCCTCTAAGGAAAAGAAATTGAATGCAGCAATCTACCAGGCACAGAGTCTTAGATGCAAGATTGATCCTCAGTTCTTGGTTCCTGCTCATTTGGGAAGTGACTGGCTAAAGCCCTGGCTGGATATCTTTGGAACAGCTAGAAGGGTAGCAGCCCACTTCCTTTACATTTCGCTCCAAAATGTGGTCCTTGGGTGCTTACCACACACAGCTTCCAAGAAGTGTGCGTAGCCTGTTCATCCACACTTTGTTTGACTCTGAGATCCTGTTTGCTTGCGGTAAATTAGGTTTTGTTTGTTTGTTTTTCATAGCAGGGTATCTTATTAGGGTTTCTGTTGCTGTGAAGAGACACCACGACCATGCAACTCTGCTAAAGGAAAACATTTAACTGGGGTGACTTGTTTACAGTTCAGAGGTTCAGTCCATTATCGTCACAGCAGGAAGCAAGGCCTCCTGCAGGCAGGCATGGTGCTGGAGAAGTTGCTGAGAGTTCTTCCATCTTGACTCACAGGCAACAGGAAATGGTCTGTCTCACTGGGTGTGGCCTGAGCACAAATGAGACCTCAAAGCCCACCTCCACAGTGACCCACTTCCTCCAGCAAGCCACACCCCCTCCAACGAGGCCACAACTCCTAATAGTGCCACTCCCTTTGGAGCCCTGGAGGTGTGCTGCTAACTGACTTGCTCATCATGGCTTGATCAGCCAGAGCACCATCCCAGGGGTGGTCCCGCCCACAACTGGCTGGCCCTCCCTCATCAATCACTAATTAAGGAAATAGCCCGCAGGACTGCCTACAGCCTGATCTTATGGAAGCTTTCTCTTAATTGAGGTTCCATTCCCTCCTCTCAGATGACTGTGGCTTGTGTCAAATTGACATAAAACTCTCCAGCACAGGCATATATCACCAAGTCAGGCACATGCCCCCAATTTTTAATTTTTTAAAACTTAATACACTTTCCTTCATGTACTAATAAAACATTCTTTTCCTTCTTGCCAAGCTTTTATACATGTACATATTGTATGTTGAGCCCATTCCTCCCTCCCTTTTCTTGTCCTTCCCGCTCGCTCCATTTGGTCCTTTCTGTCCCCCTAGAACAATGGTTCTCAGCCTGTGGATCACAACCCCGGAGGTGGGGGTTGAGTGACCCTTTCACAGGGGTCACACATTAGATACCCTGAATATCAGATATTTACATTACAATTGGTAACAATAGCAAAATTACAGTTAGGAAGTCGCAATGAAAATAATTTTATGGTTGGGGGTCCCCAAGGGTAGTAGCTTTGGGGAGGTTGAGAGCCACTGCCCTAGACAATTTTACTTGTATTTTCATGTCATTAACATGCCTGTCACTAATATTAATATATGTGACTACAGACATGATTTGTATAAATC